TGAGACGGGTAAGGATTGTGTGCATTTGCGTGCATTGCCTATAGAGATCGTGTGTTGCCTGAGTGGCCTTAATTGTCATTCTATCAAATGAATTCACATGAAGTTGAATAAAAGTTTGTAGGTCCTAAAGAAACAGAAACATTCTAACTGTATTTTCTGACAGTGCTGATCTAATTTGCCCAAAATTGTGTAGGTTGAATTTGTTGATTTTAGATATGTTTTTAACATGATTCTTAATTGATAAGGTGTAATATAGCTTACTATGTATGTGGTACACTGGCTGAAATTTCAAATTTAATGGCTCGGCACACTATGTAGGGTGTTCTAAATAATTTGGTTACAGTGACCTATAAATCAGTGGAATCTGGGTGGAGCTAGGAATTACATATAATCATGTGGTGGCTTAAAATGGTTTCCTTTTTCTCTTCCAGTTTCTCCACCTCCATCACAGACTCCAGGTCAAGGTTTGGGCTTGTCCCATTCTACAGGAGCAGTCAGCTTACAGCAAGCATTCTCTGAACTCCGACAGAACCAAAATCAGCTTGATTCAGGGCCCAGCACCGCCCCACCCTCCATCCACTCCACCCATCCTCCACTTCTGGAGCCTGCAGCAGCTTCTGTCCCTTCACAGAGTAGCACACTCACTCCCACTGTGGATGCCGCTGCTGGGCATGTCCCTTCTAATTTAAACACAACACAGGATGCCTCTCTTCCTCCTCTTTCTGTATCCTCGACCCCTTCCGCCATCCATCTCAGTCCTCCCTGTTCCTCTTCTTCTCCCCCTACAACAGTGAATCAAAGCATCCTTCAATCACAGGTACTTCCACAGCCAGTAACTCAGGCTGTCTCACAACCCCAGACACAGGTACAAGCACAGCCTCAGCCCCAGGCTTTCAGCCACCCTCAGTCCCAGACAGTTTCTTCTGTGAGTGCTGCTTCAGTACCTTCCACTTTACCAACAGTGGTTCCCCCTCAAATGCTCACCTCCCCTCCTCTAGCCCACACTATTCCTTTTGTGTCCTCCCCGCCCTCTTCATCTCTTATAGCCAGTGAAATCTCCTCTGATCATTCATCAGTCTTGCCAGCTCCTTCCCTGACCTCCTCAGTCATCCCCACCACTGCCATCCTAGGTCCCCAGCTCGCGCCCTCTGTTGTCTCCCTCCCTGCTCCTACTCCCTCATCTTCCGCTGGAGGACTTCTGCCGGTGACCACAAATGTCCCCACAGTCCAACCAACTTTGGTGCACTCTCAGCCTCAGACTGCAGCCCTGCCTGGGCAGACACACGCCCACAGTGACTGCGAGCCCAGGTGAGAGGTGGTCACTGTGTATTTATTTCTATTTGTGAACTGCTTTAAGCAGTCAGTCGCTTAACAAGGCAAAAAATAAAGTTAGTTTACCATATATATGTTTCAACAGCACACAGTTACCAGAGTGGATA